GAAACGAAATAAAAAAAAAAAAAAGTAATAATAAATAAAATTATACTAAATTGTTCCCTGACTGTTCCCGGAGGCACCGCCTCGAAGCTCCGCGCGAATATCATCGACTGCGTTCGACTCGCGGAAAACGGTGGGCAAGGTTGGAACTTGAGCGAAAACACGTGAAGCTCGAGTGGATCGGTAAGTTTCCACGTAGAACGATGAAATTCATGTAAAAATAGGCAGGCCAGCTTTGAGGGTAAGCATCGACGATCGTGAATCTGTCGACGTGTACTTCAAGCAGGTGCGTCGAACTAGAAAAGTGTGGTGAGGAGGTTTGTCTCTGGCAAAAGTGTGAAATCTTTCGAAGAAATACGATTACACCATTTTCAACGTGTCGCCGATTATCATCAACTATCCATACAACCGTCGTTGGCAACAGAGATACCCTTTGGGTCTCTCCGCGCGCTTCAACCTATCGATACATTCGTGAAACGATAACGCGCGATAAATTCGCGCCGCAATGTGACGTTTTGTCCTGAAAATTCGACGCACGTCGCGTCGGTCACGGTCGACCGGAAGCGGCGAAAGAACACGGCATCGTCCGGTGTGCTTGGTCCACACGAGCGAGATTTAATAATGTAGAGTAGCGGGCTAGACGATGGGTACACACTGGGATTGGTACACACCGCTTTCGGGCGTCTTCAATATCTGAGCAGCTCAAGAACCGCATTGTCTAGGGCGACGACCCAACTCTGTGCTTTATGACTCTCTCTCTCTGTCTGTCTCTCTGTCCGTCTTTCTTGGCTCTCTGGCCGACGATCACGACGATGACGAGCATTATGCGCCGGATAATGGTCCAACGGGCTGCCATTCACCCGTTCACGGTGCACGTGCAAAGAAACCGTACTTGACAAACACCCCCGGTTCTGGTTCTCCTGATTGAATTATGCCTCCTCGACTGTCGGTTCCGGTTGGTTCCGTCTTTCGAACCGCCAGGACGACAGAGAGGGACCAGGAGGAAGGTTGAAGGAGGAATCCTCGTACAGCCCAGCCACTGTCATTCTATGCACCGTCTTTCTCTTTTCTTTCCCCTTTTAAGCAGCATGTTCGAGAGTTGGAGATTCGAGAACGATTTGCCGATATTGAAATGTAAATAGTAGGAGTTGGAGAAGACGGGGGCGAACTTTTTTCATTTCTCTTTAGCTCGAGTTGATCACGTCGTATAATCGTTGGAGCAGCACGTTTTCGCTCAAGTTTCGCGTTAGATGGACAGCTAATTTCTGCTCGTCGAAGAACGAGAGTGTGAGGAAACGAGTGAAATGCTCGCGTTCACCCTCGAACATCCTCCTCGTCCTCGTCGACGACGACGACGACGTCGACGACGACGTTCGGGCATCCAGGAGACGGTCTCTCGGTCGAGTACGCGTCGACGAGAGGAGTCCTATTCCAATTCCAGCGAGTTAATTGGAATTGTTTGCCGCAGACACCGCTGCTAGCCGCTTGCCTTAGCACAGCTCTGTTTTCCCTTCTTCTCACCCCCTTCTAGGCTGCGTTGAACGCGCACACCGGCGCGTCGCGTTCACACGGCAAAGCGACGTCTTCAACGGAATTAATTCCTTCCGCGACGGCGTGACTTAAATTTCCATTCTCCTGTAGAAAGAAGGAGGAATGGTAAAATGATCCTGGACCTCGGTTCTCCAGGCCGCGTCGCGTGAATTCTCATCGAACCAGTTCGATGCCTTTTCTGTTATTGCTTCGGCGAATTTCGTTGGCATAATGAGCGTCATTATGGCACGAAATGGCTCCTTTCCGATGTAGAAGGATATACTTTTTACTTGTTAATTCTGCCTTTGATATAGTTCCTTTTTTTTATGAAATTTGAACAATAGGTGAAACAACGATTCAGTATGGGACTTTGTTGTAGATAGGATGCAACTGTAAAATACCTATTTCCATTTGAGTGGAGAAATGAGATGAGAAAAGATGAGAAGTTGAGTTTCTTGCTGCTTGTTGATCTTGTCCCAGCGAAAAAATGGTAGATATCTATTTAAAAGAGAATGGTGATATCGTCGTTAGGTGGAAAATCTATCGAAGTTGTATCGCGTATGAAAAATAATGAAACATTCGTCTCGTCTATTTGTCTCGCAAATAAAGAAACTAATTTCATATGGAATCATATTTCATATAAAAAATTAGCGCATTGCAAAATTTGACAATTACTAGCCAAGTGAACGCAAGGAAGCATCGAGTTTTCTTAAGATAGGAATAGTGAAAATTCGGGAGAACAGTGAAAATTCTGTGGTCGTTTCGTCCAAAATTCGGTAGCCCCAGCGGAGTTTCCGATTCACGCGGCAGAAGGAACGGATAACCAGTAAAAGTCGCGGTGGAAGTTGTAATTTTATGCAATGCCAGGACGGCTTAGTAACGTTGACGAGGGCGGATGATCTCGTTGAATCCGGCAAACTAGCTATCACGCGTTGACAAACATTGCTTTACCTACATTTCGTACGTTTTCACGTTTTCTTCAACGAAACTCGCGAGAGCAGGGAGAACTTCTCTTCCACCTAAAGATAGGATTCCTCTTGGACGTTTTTCTCTCGAACACTCGAATCATCGTCGTAGTTGGAATAAGCTCTCTCGTCCTTTTCCACGATTCGACAATTACCGAACACCGCTAATCTTCCAACAAACAAGCTACTCATTTGAAGTGGTCGTTGTTTCGCTATTTTTTCCGCTATTTAGTTGGAATATCGTGCGCAGATATGGATTAACGTCTGATCTATCTATAAGTGGATGTAACGAGATAACTAAATAATCTTATCGGCGAGTAAAGGTTGGCTACTTGGCGTATATAAATTGTAAGTCAAAATCGTACTTCGACAGTTCAATTCGAGAAACGTGTCTGACAACGTTTAACGACAGGCGACAAGGTGAGTGAACACGTATTAATCTGGAAACACCGTAACAGAAACTGGTCTTATCGATTTTCTAATTCGGCAAAATTGTTGGAACAAACGTATTGTTCAACATACGATCGGATCCAGTGTATCTTACACCGAATTATTTCTTTGCCTCGGAAACCTTCATCGCTAATTTCCACTGACATTCTCTAAACTGCCACGAATTTCCTTTGCAGATGAAATTCGTTTTCGCACTTTTGGTGATCGTGGCTGCGGCCAGCCCTCTCACCGCTTACAGGATACCATCCGCGGGTAGTGGTGCACTCGCCAAGGATCTTCAAGATCTTCTCGACATAATCCCGCTGGACAAGGTGATCAAAATCACGAGAGAATACCTGTTGGTGGACGTGCAACTGAAAACTCTTGTAAAACTGGCGCAATCCGCCGAATCAAGGGCATTGATTAGGGACGTAGAGGCTAGGCCAGAGTTAAAGGAACTTCTGGACTTCGTGCAGGAAAAGGGTGTCGACATCTACTATCTGGTGGGCAAGGTGAACGAAGCCGTGGGCCTGGCACCTTTGGTGCCTAGTTCTTTGTCGGAGCAGGAGATCAGCGGTGGAATCGCGGGCTACATTAGCGACGTTCTTGCTGTCATACCAGTTAACGAGTTGGTAGAACTGTTTTATGATAAACTCGACAACTCGCAAGTGTTCAAGGAAACCTGGGCCGAGTTGACCAGTCCACGATATCTGGAACTGTACAACTCCGTAGCGAGGAACACGCATTTTCACAAATTGACAAACATAGCAAAGAAGGCTGGTGTGAATGAAGACGATTACAAAACTTATTACCCGCTCTCCCTTGCTATCGCTGCCGCTTTACGCGCACTCTACTAAATTGAACGTTACTTCGATATACTATTTAGTTAACATGTCTTCTTTTCATTTTCAAATAAAGTGCATTTAATTGATTACATCTTTTTCTCGCCTATGCTCCATCGAACGATCTTTTTTCCCCTTTCCTTCGAGATTCATCCTTCGAAATTTTTCTCTCAATTGAAGATTTATCAAAGGAACCTTCAGCGTTAGAATTTAGTATGGAACGGTAGGAAAAAGTTCTACGATCGTACGAGAATCTTTTATACAGCGATTTCTGGACCGCGCGTCGATTACGTGTACAACAACAATCTTCCCACCTTTGTCGCGTAATCTACGTCTCAGAGTAAACGTGGTGCTGGCTGATTTATCGAGGGGGGGAGGAAAGAATGGGAGAATGTTTCCGCGATTATTGGACGTTAACGTTAGCGAATCAAGTATCATCGGAGTACGAGATCTTATCAAAGGTGGCCCCCTTGGACGATTAATCGTAATCTCTCGAGTACGACAACGTGCATCTACAGCCCTGCTGTCTGATCTTGCTTTCCATCCAAGCAACTCTGTATCACACACCCAGCTTTATCTCAAATAAATTCTTGGAAAACACCCTTGGTCACTTCTGCTTATTATTAGCACCATCTCGCACATCATCACGAGACCAAAGTTTGCGTGAGATAGACGTATATTTCGTTGTAAAGCTCGATCGCGAACGTGATCTCCAAACCGCTCTCTTTCGCCCAGAAGCAATGATGATGCAGAACCTTGCTCTCCTCCAACGCGTTGCACATCTCTCGATAATCCTTGGACCTCAAAGCGTGCAGAAACATACGGAAGCTCGACGAATATTTCACCTTCTGTCGCAACAGTTCGTGCAACTCGTCCAACGGTATCGTCCGCAGGATCGTGTCGATCATCACGGTCAAACCGCCGTCCGCGTTTTCTGGATCGTATCTGACGAATCTCGGCAGGCTCCTCCAGTATTTGCGGATCTTCTCTTGCCACGAGTCCACGTTCAAGTCGTTTAATTGGAGAAATCGGACCATCTTGATCAACTGAGGTATTCTCTGCAACTCGCGAATTATGAACCTCTTCTGATCGTTCACGAAGCAGACAGTGTCGCCGATCTGAGCGTCGTATTTCACGTATCTCTCGATGATCTGTCGCACCTCCGTCGTCGGGACGAACGCCAGGATGTCCTTGAAATCTTCGTCGAGCGAGCTGTCATCTTGCAACGTCGATATGCTCGACAGATCGACCTCGTTCGATCGAACTCTGATCCGATAGGCAAGGAATCCTATGAAAGCGAACGAGGCTGCTGCCACCACGGTCATTATCACGATTTGAGGATTCATTTTCGGTGGAATGTGTGACTGCGAAGGTTCTTCTAATGCGAGATCATTGTAGAATTTTCGATGGACTCGTTTGAACGCTGGAGAGACGAGTTTGGTTAATGAAAACTGGTCTGTTCGGTGGAAAAATGGACAAGGGGTTATAGTTGCGAGCAACTGCACGGAAGTAAACTGTAGGGAGAGACTTACGGGGAAAGTTTGCCGGTTCAGAGGATGATGATCTTGGTTACAGCGGCCAAGTGGATTCGTCGGGCCATTATACGCGGATGAACGTTCCTTTCGCGAGATTCGACGGGGTTGTTTGAGAGAAGAGGACGGATCGGGAATAGGTTATGACTGTCGAACGGCGTTCTTTGTTACGAAGAGGCGCGAGAAGTGAAGGAATTATACAGATGTACCGTGTAATTTCGAGATTTCTTTAACTGGAATGTTTGACGGGCCGACAGCCGCCGAGGTACACGTCATATCACATTTTTATTCGCACCGGAAGCACGTGAAGTGAACGCAGCATTGCGTGTTTGACGGTTTGAAGCTGCGGTTGCATTTGTCGTTAAGCGAAAATAGAGATTGATGCAAATTTGTAGCTTCGAATTTGCCTGCAAAGGTGATTGTCACTTTGGGATGGTACTTGGAGCTGCGAAAGGAGAGTATTTGGGACACGGTGCTTAATATTACGGTGTGAAATAAGAGTGCGTGGGCACACGGTGATTTAGAACGTGATTAAACGCTGTCTGCAAATGTCTGGAATAGGCGAGGGAAGTAGAATAGAGCAAAAGAGAGCGTTAGGGTGCGAAGATGCGTGCGCGGGGCACTGAGAGAACAGTCCATAGCGAGAGTCGAACGTGAGCGTAGCTTTTTGAGTATTCTGAGTGAATATAATTATTAATTTTTGTAGTAATCATCGTCGAAGTCACTTCCAGCGTCACATACTCGCATGGAATTTCTTTAAACCTCTAACGCTCACGTTTATTCTCAACTTGATGTGCCAAAAATGATCAATTTCCTCGGAGTAGAGAGATAAATTTCCCATTATTTATAATACTCTAATTTATTACATATTTCTAGACAAAATAACGCAATATGGAAAGTGAAAGGAAGTAATTTAAAAATATTACAATTATGCACAATTAATTGTAACATAAGCGTTAGGGGGTTAAATGATCAAATAAACACTCTGGTGGCTTGATAATCAAGCGGGATTTGTAATCCTCGGTATTGATTGATCCAGAATCCACGTAGATCGTTCGCCACGTGTTGGTAGACTTAGATCTTATTCTAAGTAATCATATCGACGCGCTGGATCGTGGTGACTTTTGTACGCTTACACGTCTAATTGCAAGTTATCGATCGGATATTGTAGATCAGCTGCAACCCTGAAGTTTGTAAGGGTGGATCGCCGATTCACAAAATCGGAAGACGGAATAGATAGATATCTGATCGCGTCGGTATCGCGAAAATTCTCGTATCGCTGATAGGTTCGGGGCGTTCGATTTTGTTCAATGAATGTTCCATTCGGATGCTAATCGGTTCTGACGAGACAAATTTCGAAGATATCGCTCTATCGTTACGTCATCGTACGTGCACGATACGAGGCGATAATTGAGATGAAACGCGGAAGATACCATCAACGGGTTGCGGTGCGCTCGCCAAGGATCTTCAAGATCTTCTCGACCTAATCCCGTTGGACAAGGTGATCGACATCACGCGAGCATACCTGGCGCGGGACTTGCAACTGCAATCTCTTGTAATGCTGGCATTGTCCCCCGAATCGAAGGCATTGGTGAGAGACGTAGAGGCTAGGCCAGAGTTAAAGGAACTTCTGGACTTCGTGCAGGAAAAGGGTCTCGACATCTACTATTTGGTGGGCAAGGTGAACGAAGCCGTGGGCCTGGCACCTTTGGTGCCTAGTTCTTTGTCGGAGCAGGAGATCAGCGGTGGAATCGCGGGCTACATTAGCGACGTTCTTGCTGTCATACCAGTTAACGAGTTGGTAGAACTGTTTTATGATAAACTCGACAACTCGCAAGTGTTCAAGGAAACCTGGGCCGAGTTGACCAGTCCACGAAACCTGAACCTGTACAACTTCGTAGTGAGGAACGCGCATTTTCACAAACTGGCGAAGATATCTCAGGCGCTTGGAGTGAATGAAGACGAGTACAGGCTTTATTACCCGCCGACCCTTGTTATCGCTGCCGCTCTACACACACTCTACTAAATTGAACGTTACTTCGATATACTATTTAGTTACCATGTCTTCTTTTCATTTTCAAATAAAGTGCACTTAATCGATTACATCTTTTTCTCGCCTATGCTCCATCGAACGATCTTCTTTCCCCTTTCCTTCGAGATTCATCCTTCGAAATTTTTCTCTCAATTGAAGATTTATCAAAGGAACCTTCGGCGTTAGAATTTAGTATTGAACGGTAGGAAAAAGTTCTACGATCGTACGAGAATCTTTTACACAGCGATTTCTGGAACGCGCGTCGATTACGTGTACAACAACAATCTTCCCACCTTTGTCGCGTAATCTACGTCCGAGAGTAAACGTGGTGCTGGCTGATTTATCGAGGGGGGGAGGAAAGAATGGGAGAAAGTTTCTGCGATTATTGGACGTTAACGTTAGCGAATCAAGTATCATCGGAGTACGAGATCTTATCAAAGGTGGCCCCCTTGGACGATTAATCGTAATCTCTCGAGTACGACAACGTGCATCTGCAGCCCTGCTGTCTGATCTTGCTTTCCATCCAAGCAACTCTGTATCACACACCCAGCTTTATCTCAAATAAATTCTTGGAAAACACCCTTGGTCACTTCTGCTTATTATTAGCACCATCTCGCACATCATCACGAGACCAAAGTTTGCGTGAGATAGACGTATATTTCGTTGTAAAGCTCGATCGCGAACGTGATCTCCAAACCGCTCTCTTTCGCCCAGAAGGAATGATGATACAGAACTTTGGTCTCCTCCAACGCGATGCACATCTCTCGATAATCCTTGGACCTCGAAGCGTACAGAAACATGCGGAATCTCGACGAATATTTCACCTTCTGTCGCAACAGTTCGTGCAACTCGTCCAACGGTATCGTTCGCAGGATCGTGTCCATCAAACCGCCGTCCGCGATTTCTAGATCGTATCTAACGTATCTCGGTAGGATCCTCCAGTACTTGCGGATCTTGTCTTGCCACGAGTCCATGTGCAAGTCGTCGAATTATGAACCTCTTCTGATCGTTCACGAAGCAAACAGTGTCGCCGATCTGAGCGTCGTATTTCACGTATCTCTCGATGATCTGTCGCACCTCCGTCGTCGGGACGAACGCCAGGATGTCCTTGAAATCTTCGTCGAGCGAGCTGTCATCTTGCAACGTCGATATGCTCGACAGATCGACCTCGTTCGATCGAACTCTGATCCGATAGGCAAGGAATCCTATGAAAGCGAACGAGGCTGCTGCCACCACGGTCATTATCACGATTTGAGGATTCATTTTCGGTGGAATGTGTGACTGCGAAGGTTCTTCTAATGCGAGATCATTGTAGAATTTTCGATGGACTCGTTTGAACGCTGGAGAGACGAGTTTGGTTAATGAAAACTGGTCTGTTCGGTGGAAAAATGGACAAGGGGTTATAGTTGCGAGCAACTGCACGGAAGTAAACTGTAGGGAGAGACTTACGGGGAAAGTTTGCCGGTTCAGAGGATGATGATCTTGGTTACAGCGGCCAAGTGGATTCGTCGGGCCATTATACGCGGATGAACGTTCCTTTCGCGAGATTCGACGGGGTTGTTTGAGAGAAGAGGACGGATCGGGAATAGGTTATGACTGTCGAACGGCGTTCTTTGTTACGAAGAGGCGCGAGAAGTGAAGGAATTATACAGATGTACCGTGTAATTTCGAGATTTCTTTAACTGGAATGTTTGACGGGCCGACAGCCGCCGAGGTACACGTCATATCACATTTTTATTCGCACCGGAAGCACGTGAAGTGAACGCAGCATTGCGTGTTTGACGGTTTGAAGCTGCGGTTGCATTTGTCGTTAAGCGAAAATAGAGATTGATGCAAATTTGTAGCTTCGAATTTGCCTGCAAAGGTGATTGTCACTTTGGGATGGTACTTGGAGCTGCGAAAGGAGAGTATTTGGGACACGGTGCTTAATATTACGGTGTGAAATAAGAGTGCGTGGGCAGGATACCATCCGCGGGTAGTGGTGCACTCGCCAAGGATCTTCAAGATCTTCTCGACATAATCCCGCTGGACAAGGTGATCAAAATCACGAGAGAATACCTGTTGGTGGACGTGCAACTGAAAACTCTTGTAAAACTGGCGCAATCCGCCGAATCAAGGGCATTGATTAGGGACGTAGAGGCTAGGCCAGAGTTAAAGGAACTTCTGGACTTCGTGCAGGAAAAGGGTGTCGACATCTACTATCTGGTGGGCAAGGTGAACGAAGCCGTGGGCCTGGCACCTTTGGTGCCTAGTTCTTTGTCGGAGCAGGAGATCATCGGTGGATTCGAGGGCTACGTGCTCGAAGTTCTTATGGTCTTACCAGTTAGCGAGTTGGAAGAACTGTTTCATGATAAACTCAACAACTCGCAAGTGTTCAAGGAAACCTGGGCCGAGTTGACCAGTCCACGATATCTGGAACTGTACAACTCCGTAGCGAGGAACACGCATTTTCACAAATTGACAAACATAGCAAAGAAGGCTGGTGTGAATGAAGACGATTACAAAACTTATTACCCGCTCTCCCTTGCTATCGCTGCCGCTTTACGCGCACTCTACTAAATTGAACGTTACTTCGATATACTATTTAGTTAACATGTCTTCTTTTCATTTTCAAATAAAGTGCATTTAATTGATTACATCTTTTTCTCGCCTATGCTCCATCGAACGATCTTTTTTCCCCTTTCCTTCGAGATTCATCCTTCGAAATTTTTCTCTCAACTGAAGATTTATCAAAGGAACCTTCAGCGTTAGAATTTAGTATGGAACGGTAGGAAAAAGTTCTACGATCGTACGAGAATCTTTTATACAGCGATTTCTGGACCGCGCGTCGATTACGTGTACAACAACAATCTTCCCACCTTTGTCGCGTAATCTACGTCTCAGAGTAAACGTGGTGCTGGCTGATTTATCGAGGGGGGGAGGAAAGAATGGGAGAATGTTTCCGCGATTATTGGACGTTAACGTTAGCGAATCAAGTATGATCGGAGTACGAGATGTTATCAGAGGTGGCCCCCTTGGACGATTAATCGTAATCTCTCGAGTACGACAACGTGCATCTGCAGCCCTGCTGTCTGATCTTGCTTTCCATCCAAGCAACTCTGTATCACACACCCAGCTTTATGTCAAATAAATTCTTGGAAAACACCGTTGCTAGTTTCTGCTTATTATTCATCGACGAATACACATACAGCCCTGCTGTCTGATCTTGCTTTCCATCCAAGCAACTCTGTATCACACACCCAGCTTTATCTCAAATAAATTCTTGGAAAACACCGTTGCTAGTTTCTGCTTATTATTCATCGACGAATACACATCACACCCAGCTTTATCTCAAATAAATTCTTGGAAAACACCCTTGGTCACTTCTGCTTATTATTAGCACCATCTCGCACATCATCACGAGACCAAAGTTTGCGTGAGATAGACGTATATTTCGTTGTAAAGCTCGATCGCGAACGTGATCTCCAAACCGCTCTCTTTCGCCCAGAAGGAATGATGATACAGAACTTTGGTCTCCTCCAACGCGATGCACATCTCTCGATAATCCTTGGACCTCGAAGCGTACAGAAACATGCGGAATCTCGACGAATATTTCACCTTCTGTCGCAACAGTTCGTGCAACTCGTCCAACGGTATCGTTCGCAGGATCGTGTCCATCAAACCGCCGTCCGCGATTTCTAGATCGTATCTAACGTATCTCGGTAGGATCCTCCAGTACTTGCGGATCTTGTCTTGCCACGAGTCCATGTGCAAGTCGTCGAATTATGAACCTCTTCTGATCGTTCACGAAGCAAACAGTGTCGCCGATCTGAGCGTCGTATTTCACGTATCTCTCGATGATCTGTCGCACCTCTGTCGTCGGGACGAACACCAGGATGTCCTGGAAATCTTCGCCGAGCGAGCTGTCGTCTTGCAACGGCCCCTCGTCTTCAATGAAATTAATTTCTTCCGCGATGGCGTGACTCTTCCACTCTCTGGTAGAAAGGAGGAGGAATGGTAAAATGATCCTGGATCTCGGTTCGCCAAACCGCGTCGCTTGAATTCTCATCGAACCAATTCGATGCATTTTCTGCTACTGCTTCTGCGAATTTCGCTGGGATCATGAGCGTTATTATGGCACTAAATGGCTCCTTTCCGATGTAGAACGATATACTTTTTACTTGTTAATTCTGCCTTTGATATAGTTCCTTTTTTTAATGAAATTTGAGCAATAGGTGAAACATCGATTCTGTATGGAATTTTGTAGTAGATAGGTCGCAAATTTAAAGTACCTGTTTCCATTTGAGTGGAGAAATGAGATGTGAAAAGATGAAAAGTTGAGTTTGTTGTTAGTTGTTGATTTTGTCTGAGCGAAAAAATTGTAGATATCTATATAAAAGAGAATGGAGATATCGTCGTTCGGTGGAAAATCTAACGAAGTCGTATTGCGCATGAAAAAGAATGAAACTTTTATACAAGCAAAGAAACTAGTTTCATATGGAAAATTAGCGTATTTTATTGATATATTTCGTAAGGTTTAATTAGTATATTTTTACTTTGCCGAACAAGTGTAACTTAAATCATAGAATATTTTCTGCACGTTAATGAATGTCGTTCAAAATATGACAATTAAATTTTTCTATACTCAAGTGATCGATCTGTGTAAAATCGTAAAGTTTCACGGAGATTCGATGACGATTAGTACAGGCCAAGCGAACGCAAGGAAGCTTCGAGTTTTTTGAGGTACGAATAGTGAAAATTCGGGAGAACAGTAAAAATTCTGTGGTCGTTTCGTCCAAAATTCGGTAGCCCCAGAGGAGTTTCAGATTCACGCGGCAGAAGGAACGGATAACCAGTGAAAGTCGCGGTGGAAGTTGTAATTTTATGCAATGCCAGGACGGTGAAGGACCTATGAAGAAAAGTTCGACGGCTTAATAACGTTGACGAGGGCGGATGATCTCGTTGAATCCGGCAAACTAGCCATCACGCGTTGACAAATATTGCTTTACCTACATTTCGTACGTTTTCACGTTTTCTTCAACGAAACTCGCGAGAGCAGGGAAAACTTCTCTTCCACCTAAAGATAGGATTCCTCTTGGACGTTTTTCTCTCGAACACTCGAATCATCGCCGTAGTTGGAATAAGCTCTCCCTTCCTTTTTCACGATTCGACAATTACCGAACACCGCTAATCTTCCAACAAACAAGCTATCCATTTGATATGGTCGTTGTTTCGCTATTTTTACCGCTATTTAGTTGGAAAATCGTACGTAGATATGGATTAACGTCTGATCTATCTGTAAGTGGATGTAACGAGATAATGTATTCCGCGTAATTCTACATCGACACATTCCAATAATCTTATCGGCAAGTAAAGGTCTGCTACTCGGTGTGTATAAATTGTAAGGGAAGATCGTAATTCGACAGTTCAATTCGAGAAACGCGTCTGACAACGTTTAACGACAGGCAGCAAGGTGAGTGAACACGTATTAATCTGGAAACACCGTAACAGAAACTGGTCTTATCGATTTTCTAATTCGGCAAAATTGTTCGAACAAACGTATTGTTCAACATACGATCGGATCCAGTGTATCTTACACCGAATTATTTCTTTGCCTCGGAAACCTTCATCGCTAATTTCCACTGACATTCTCTAAACTGCCACGAATTTCCTTCGCAGATGAAATTCGTTTTCGCACTTTTGGTGATCGTGGCTGCGGCCAGCCCTCTCACCGCTTACAGGATACCATCCGCGGGTAGTGGTGCACTCGCCAAGGATCTTCAAGATCTTCTCGACCTAATCCCGTTGGACAAGGTGATCGACATCACGCGAGCATACCTGGCGCGGGACTTGCAACTGCAATCTCTTGTAATGCTGGCATTGTCCCCCGAATCGAAGGCATTGGTGAGAGACGTAGAGGCTAGGCCAGAGTTAAAGGAACTTCTGGACTTCGTGCAGGAAAAGGGTGTCGACATCTACTATCTGGTGGGCAAGGTGAACGAAGCCGTGGGCCTGGCACCTTTGGTGCCTAGTTCTTTGTCGGAGCAGGAGATCAGCGGTGGAATCGCGGGCTACATTAGCGACGTTCTTGCTGTCATACCAGTTAACGAGTTGGTAGAACTGTTTTATGATAAACTCGACAACTCGCAAGTGTTCAAGGAAACCTGGGCCGAGTTGACCAGTCCACGATATCTGGAACTGTACAACTCCGTAGCGAGGAACACGCATTTTCACAAATTGACAAACATAGCAAAGAAGGCTGGTGTGAATGAAGACGATTACAAAACTTATTACCCGCTCTCCCTTGCTATCGCTGCCGCTTTACGCGCACTCTACTAAATTGAACGTTACTTCGATATACTATTTAGTTAACATGTCTTCTTTTCATTTTCAAATAAAGTGCATTTAATTGATTACATCTTTTTCTCGCCTATGCTCCATCGAACGATCTTTTTTCCCCTTTCCTTCGAGATTCATCCTTCGAAATTTTTCTCTCAATTGAAGATTTATCAAAGGAACCTTCAGCGTTAGAATTTAGTATGGAACGGTAGGAAAAAGTTCTACGATCGTACGAGAATCTTTTATACAGCGATTTCTGGACCGCGCGTCGATTACGTGTACAACAACAATCTTCCCACCTTTGTCGCGTAATCTACGTCTCAGAGTAAACGTGGTGCTGGCTGATTTATCGAGGGGGGGAGGAAAGAATGGGAGAATGTTTCCGCGATTATTGGACGTTAACGTTAGCGAATCAAGTATCATCGGAGTACGAGATCTTATCAAAGGTGGCCCCCTTGGACGATTAATCGTAATCTCTCGAGTACGACAACGTGCATCTACAGCCCTGCTGTCTGATCTTGCTTTCCATCCAAGCAACTCTGTATCACACACCCAGCTTTATCTCAAATAAATTCTTGGAAAACACCGTTGCTAGTTTCTGCTTATTATTCATCGACGAATACACATGGCCTGGTTAGAAACATCTCGTACATCATCACGAGACCAAAGTTTGCGTGAGATAGACGTACAGTTCGTTGTAAAGCTCGATCGCGAACGTGATCTCCAAACCGCTCTCTTTCGCCCAGAAGCAATGATGATGCAGAACCTTGCTCTCCTCCAACGCGTTGCACATCTCTCGATAATCCTTGGACCTCAAAGCGTGCAGAAACATACGGAAGCTCGACGAATATTTCACCTTCTGTCGCAACAGTTCGTGCAACTCGTCCAACGGTATCGTCCGCAGGATCGTGTCGATCATCACGGTCAAACCGCCGTCCGCGTTTTCTGGATCGTATCTGACGAATCTCGGCAGGCTCCTCCAGTATTTGCGGATCTTCTCTTGCCACGAGTCCACGTTCAAGTCGTTTAATTGGAGAAATCGGACCATCTTGATCAACTGAGGTATTCTCTGCAACTCGCGAATTATGAACCTCTTCTGATCGTTCACGAAGCAGACAGTGTCGCCGATCTGAGCGTCGTATTTCACGTATCTCTCGATGATCTGTCGCACCTCCGTCGTCGGGACGAACGCCAGGATGTCCTTGAAATCTTCGTCGAGCGAGCTGTCATCTTGCAACGTCGATATGCTCGACAGATCGACCTCGTTCGATCGAACTCTGATCCGATAGGCAAGGAATCCTATGAAAGCGAACGAGGCTGCTGCCACCACGGTCATTATCACGATTTGAGGATTCATTTTCGGTGGAATGTGTGACTGCGAAGGTTCTTCTAATGCGAGATCATTGTAGAATTTTCGATGGACTCGTTTGAACGCTGGAGAGACGAGTTTGGTTAATGAAAACTGGTCTGTTCGGTGGAAAAATGGACAAGGGGTTATAGTTGCGAGCAACTGCACGGAAGTAAACTGTAGGGAGAGACTTACGGGGAAAGTTTGCCGGTTCAGAGGATGATGATCTTGGTTACAGCGGCCAAGTGGATTCGTCGGGCCATTATACGCGGATGAACGTTCCTTTCGCGAGATTCGACGGGGTTGTTTGAGAGAAGAGGACGGATCGGGAATAGGTTATGACTGTCGAACGGCGTTCTTTGTTACGAAGAGGCGCGAGAAGTGAAGGAATTATACAGATGTACCGTGTAATTTCGAGATTTCTTTAACTGGAATGTTTGACGGGCCGACAGCCGCCGAGGTACACGTCATATCACATTTTTATTCGCACCGGAAGCACGTGAAGTGAACGCAGCATTGCGTGTTTGACGGTTTGAAGCTGCGGTTGCATTTGTCGTTAAGCGAAAATAGAGATTGATGCAAATTTGTAGCTTCGAATTTGCCTGCAAAGGTGATTGTCACTTTGGGATGGTACTTGGAGCTGCGAAAGGAGAGTATTTGGGACACGGTGCTTAATATTACGGTGTGAAATAAGAGTGCGTGGGCACACGGTGATTTAGAACGTGATTAAACGCTGTCTGCAAATGTCTGGAATAGGCGAGGGAAGTAGAATAGAGCAAAAGAGAGCGTTAGGGTGCGAAGATGCGTGCGCGGGGCACTGAGAGAACAGTCCATAGCGAGAGTCGAACGTGAGCGTAGCTTTTTGAGTATTCTGAGTGAATATAATTATTAATTTTTGTAGTAATCATCGTCGAAGTCACTTCCAGCGTCACATACTCGCATGGAATTTCTTTAAACCTCTAACGCTCACGTTTATTCTCAACTTGATGTGCCAAAAATGATCAATTTCCTAGGAGTAGAGAGATAAATTTCCCATTATTTATAATACTCTAATTTATTACATATTTCTAGACAAAATAACGCAATATGGAAAGTGAAAGGAAGTAATTTAAAAATATTACAATTATGCACAATTAATTGTAACATAAGCGTTAGGGGGTTAAATGATCAAATAAACACTCTGGTGGCTTGATAATCAAGCGGGATTTGTAATCCTCGGTATTGATTGATCCAGAATCCACGTAGATCGTTCGCCACGTGTTGGTAGACTTAGATCTTATTCTAAGTAATCATATCGACGCGCTGGATCGTGGTGACTTTTGTACGCTTACACGTCTAATTGCAAGTTATCGATCGGATATTGTAGATCAGCTGCAACCCTGAAGTTTGTAAGGGTGGATCGCCGATTCACAAAATCGGAAGACGGAATAGATAGATATCTGATCGCGTCGGTATCGCGAAAATTCTCGTATCGCTGATAGGTTCGGGGCGTTCGATTTTGTTCAATGAATGTTCCATTCGGATGCTAATCGGTTCTGACGAGACAAATTTCGAAGATATCGTTCTATCGTTACGTCATCGTACGTGCACGATACGAGGCGATAATTGAGATGAAACGCGGAATGGAAAAAAGGAAGCACCTACTGATGTCGCGATTACTGAAAAGGGACCGCTATCTTCGATAATATCGATCGTCGTAATGGCGTGATAGTACACGACTGGGGGAATTAAACGAGGCGAACTATCTGTAACGAGTAACGTTACATAAACAATATGTACAATACGTACGAGAGCGTGACCGGCATAATTTTTGTCTGAACGAAATTATCGAGAAAATACGCGAGTAGTCCAGTCGAAAATGATAATGAGGTGTTGTAGGAAAAGTCTCAGCTGTCTTCTGAGTTAAGAAAATTATATCTTTAACTGAATTGCTCGATGACCACGAATTTTGAGGACGATTTTCATCCCTTCGATGTGAACTGTTGTTGATAAGAAAAAATACGCGTTGAATTTTTTTTTTTTGAGATCTAGGAGATACCAAATTTCGTGAAAATGAAATGAATCGTTTTTTTTTTTGGAGATCTACTAGATACTAAAATTTCGTCAAAATGAAACGAATCGATGAGTGTCACTTCGGGATGTTCCCTTGTGAATGTAGAAGGGACTATTTCTTCCTTTTGGACACTATAATTCGCTATACTTGGTCTTCATCCACCGATAAATTAGTCTAAAAAACAGTTCAGCATCTAGAAAAAGGTGGAGTTTGAAGTGACAAGGATTCGAAACATTATCCATCTCCACGAATAATTTAAACACAAAGAGAATGGCGAAAATTGGTCAAAAAGCACTTGCGCCGTCGATAGAAGAATAGTTTCGAAGAAGAAATGAAAACTGGATCCTACAAGAGTGTGATGATCCCAAACAAAGATCTTCTCTGCACACAATGGAAAGCAGAAGATTGCATTAATGCACTAGCTTGAGGTAATCGAAAATATTTGGGTATACATACATGAAATCTGTGTCAAATATGAAACTTTGCAGGGTAATTTTATATAAAATAATTTTAACATGAAAACCTCGTAGTAATTAGTATAATTTGTTAGACAGACTATACGAAGGAAATAGATTTTTGGTTTGATAATTTTCTTATCTATATGATAGCAAATTTCTTCTGTCGATAAAGAAGTTTATCTTTTTACTCGTCCAACTATGAAAGTATTTTACATTTATTGTATTATTTTGCAACTAGGAAAATTACAATAGGTATTAATGTGCTCGGGAAGAAAATGTAATCGAAGAATGTTTAATTAAAAAAGTAGACTTTTTCGTCCATATTATAGTACATACGGTAACACTTCCTGCTACCTCTTTTACTTTGCAATTCAAGCACTTGAATCCTATTATCTGATAAGTCGCTAATCAACGGTCGAGCTTTTTCTGTCTACTTCATAATTTCGATTACACACGGTCACGAGAGCTCGTCGTAGACGTTCCATTTGCAACTACGTGATAAGCAACTAACATAAAATTCAATCATTTCTCCTATTACGAAGTGATATCTAAAGCTTCAAAGTTTCCAATCTGCTTGAAAAAGAAAATTTCAATTTTGAAATCTTATTTCGAACGAAAGTATCGTCTCCTTCATTCGACTAGCACACTCCATTTGCAACTGCGTGACAAGTAACTAACGTGAAATTAAATAATTTGTCACATTACAAATCAGCTCAAAGAAAATATTTCAATTCCAAAGTCTACTTTGAAGCCGAATTCGAAAGTATCTCTTCTATTCCACTACGAAAATAACGGAAAGATGAAGGGCAGGGAGGGTACAAAAATCTCCATTTATAAATATCAAACGATCCGACATTTATCAAATTATTCTAATACAGTAAATAACACATAAATTAAATAATTCACAGAGCCGTTACAACGCTCACGCCGAAAGGTAACTTTGAACGTAGAATTTAACGACCAGAAGAGGAAGGAAATTGGCGTGGAATTCTCTCGAGTCGAGGTTCAATTTTTCCACGTAATGCAACAGATCCTGGAAGTGAGAATTCGTGAAGGTGGACGTGAAAAGGTCGGTGTATTCTGTGGAAAGGACTTCGTTCACCAGATTCTTGAACACCTCGGACATCACTGCGTCGTATTCGAAAAGATTGGCTAACTCGTATTTGGGTATAAGCCTGTTGAGATCGTTCACGAAGCCGTTGAAGCTAAAAGTGACTTTGCATTCGGTGGCATTCGGGAGTTGTACAGGTTCTTTCGCCAGGGATTCTTTCAATTCTGACCACAGCAGATGAGCGTCGAGACCGTTCTCTTGCAGGTAATTCAACAGTTTCTTGAATTCTTTCGAACCCTCGACGTCCGCGAGATATTCCTTCAGATCCTCGCTCTGCAGGAGTCGCATGACCCTTTGGAAGTCTTTGTCGCAGGCCAGGTACGTTTTCGTCAGCTCCGCCATCTCGTCGAGTGGAACGTAGGACACGAACTCTTGCAACACCTTGGCTACGTCACCTGAGCCCACGCTGGGCAAAACGTAAGCGTTCATTTGGCCAACTGCGGCCAGAACGGCGAGGACAGCGAAAGCGAGTTTCATCTGCAATTGAAAATTAAGAATTTCGATTACTTTGGAGAACGCTGATATTTCTACGCTTAACCCTTTGAACTCCAAATTTCTTTTCAGCAACTCTTTACTATTCGAAGAACTTTATTTGAAGTGCACTTCGAAAGACACAATTATATTGAAAAAAATTCTTTACTAATTGCATTGAAAATAGCATCGAGGGTCACATATACAGGGTGTCCCAGGTTTTAATGGCCAAACGTTGTCGGTATATTCTACCGGTCGAACATAGGACTTTCAGAGCTTCGTTAAAGAGTTATGGCGGTAATACGAAATGAAGGAAGCAATAGCAGACTCACGGTCACTGCGATGTAATACAGAAGTAGATCAGCAATATTTACGTTTACTTTGTTTATGCAAGAAGCAACTAATACTCCATCTGAAAAGTGTCCACCGTTTATGACAATGCAAGATTGACATCAGGTAACAGAATTTATTACTCTGCGAATTTCGTTATTACTTTCATTTCAGTAAATGCATCATTACGCGATTATTTCTGTATTACATCGCAGTAACCGTGAGTCTCCTACTGTTCCCTTCATTTCGTATTACCGCCATAACTTTTTAACGAAGCTCTGAAAGACCCGCGTTCGTATAACATTTCCTTTTTATTTCGACCCATAGAATATACCGACAACGTTTGGCCATTAAAACCTCGGACACCCTGTACACACACTGCCGGGCAGAAGTTTGGAATCACCCGTCAGTTTTCATCAATATCGAATCTGATACAAATTGGCGTTATGGAGATCCGTAGCAATTTGCCTCATTTCGACGGATTGGAATGATAAAAGATTCTTAAGATTGCAAACTTCTTTCTGAAAATTTTTGCGCAACTTGCGGTGCACAGTGATTCCAAACTTTCGACCGGTAGTGTACGTGTACCTATTGTTCGTCCAGGTAAAAAAAAGTTTAAATCGCATTTAAACTGGCAATTTAAAAATTTCTTCATTCATACCTGTGAATAAAACTGACTGAACGAAGGAGTTCAAAGGGGTTGAACCAGAGATAATACACACTCTCGAGATAAGTGTAACGAAATAAAAATTGCAATCCTAAGGTACACTCGTTCGCGTAATTCCTTCAGCAAAGAAGAAAATTATTTATCCGGCGTTGCTGTCTCAGCGGAAACTATTCTTTCACCTAGTGTCTAGATCTCGGGCCCTAGATCTCTAGCCAAATATTCGAGATCCAAGGGTTACGGGGTGAAACAGGCGATTTGAAAGTTTCAACGCGTTGCTGAAACTCTACGAAATGACGAAGTCACGATTCAAAAAAGTGACGAACCTCTGAAAACGCGTTTCGCAAACTAGCTACCATGATTTCTCACTAAAGGATCAACCGATCTCTCCCAAATTTCGTATTCGTGTAAAATAGATATCTCGCGAAGAAATTTGTCGAAGCGATTGGAAAGATTTTTCAGTAGGAAAGTAGGCGAATCTATGTAGTTCGCCGTGTAATTGAAGTAATTTGTAGAGTAGATTGTAATTTACAGAGAGTTCAAGTTAGACAACAGTGGTGACTTACCTTGCGACAGCGAAAATTTCAGCGGATTTCTAACGTGAAACATTTCCTCATTTCGTTTTATATACCACGAATGGATCCACTTTATTCATTTAGATAAGATTATTTTTGTTAATACCATGATATGTAACGGACAATAGTGTGGCTTGAAGCAAACAGATAATGCATGTTCATCCTTTCGATGTGTCTAAAAAATTCTAGAATGTACGCTGAAAATTAATAAGCACTACACACACCAACGTTGATTACACCTTTGCATGAGCATTAACTGTCTTGATTATCAGTCGTTGATTAACTTCTCTTCCCCAGACGAAATCGCGCGAATACTTAATCACGGGGGCATGATATGAATATTAATGCGTGTTACGACGTCCGTTTATCGTTTGTTGTTATATTTGCGGAAACGTGAACGTATAATTTCTTCGTTTTATTAATTTTCATTCGTTAAAATACGAATCTGAGGTAATATTTGACGATACTGCTCCTGTAGTACACTTTGTATCCATCTTTGTCATTTGTTCGACGAAAAAGGGACAGATGAAAATTGGTAAATTTAGCGGTAATTAAATTTCGTGTATCATTCGATGAGATTGCTAATTTACAAGTATATTATATCGGAAGGATCAGTGAATGATAAGAAATCGTGATTTATAAACGTATACCTAGCGTCCTCTGTGTCGATGATCACGAATCATGGACTCATTATGATAAAAAGAATGTGTGATTTTTAGTTGACAAATAATACAAACGCGGCGCTTGCATAATGCTGTATCAACCAGCCGCGTTAATGTGTAAATTGAATATGAAATTAACGTGGAGCGCAAATTTAAACAGAACTTAACAGGGACTGGAGGGATTTGATCGTGGCTTTTCAGCGACCTTTAAACAAATTACGTCGGTGATAAATATGTGAAATATCGTGGATACACCGTTTCGGTGGAAATTCTTTATTTAAATCAACGGCTAATTTTACTTTTGAGAGGAAAAAGATACGTCTCGTTTGTATTTACAACGGTAATTTATGGATAATACACTTTTTTAACCCTTTCACTGTGACAGATTTTAGAGATATAACGTCAGATTCGTGGCACGATCATTTATTTAAAATTTCTTTCATTCAATTACGGTGAAAAAGTGCAAAGGATGAAATTAAGCCTTAAATTAATTTGGAAGTGCGCCAAAATGATCCAATAGCACAGTGCAAGCAAAATTTGTAAGGCGCCAATAGCAGTGAAAGGGTTAATCAGCCAGGTGCTGTGTAGGTACAGCAGAGGTTGAACCATCGAAACAGGTAAGAAGACCATCTACCGAATTATTAACAACGCCCGCGATAAATTACTCCAAGAGATTACCATTCCCCTCCATTATCTCCGATACGAAAATTACCGATCGTATCTGTATTACATTCGAATCTATCTGATTGAATGTTCAAAAAATTATTGTGCAATATCACTCACCTGAAAAAATACGAAGCTTTGCTTTTCGCCAAGAAAAAAGAGAAAGAAATTAACCTTAGTGCGTTCTTCGTTTTGACTGTACACTTAAGACTTTTGGGTGAAAAAGGACCTAAGACCTTATGTGTAATAATTTTTGTTTCCAACGCGACATACGAACCTAGACAATAAACGTTTAATATAATGTTAAGGAACGTAAACTTGATAACAGCAAAAATGACTAAAAGTATAAGAAGGCGGTGGGTCAAAAAACACCCGAAGACCGCTCTAGGGTTAAAAAATTCAAACTGCAAAAAAAAAAACGGAAAAAAAATTCAATAGTTCGTGTCTGATTCCTTCCACCCGAGCGATCGTTTCAAAACCCTTCGATTCCTCGAACAGCGATCAATTTCATTCGCCGCCGGTGGACGGTGGTTCGTTAACGCGGCAGAAGTTTCGCTGATCAAACGAGAAAGCAAAAGGGCACCGCGTGCGGCGAATGGCCAGGAGTGGCGGCGTCGACGGCAGTCATTCGATAAATAAAAGAGTACCGTGTTCGAGCACGTGGCGCTAACTTTTAAAAGGAAAGTAAGGGGCGTCTTAACCGACGCGTTTTCCCGCGGGGTTCGAGGTTGAACGGGAGACA